CTGCTGAAAGCCCTTCCACTAGGGTTCCTCTTACAGTTCTGTAATCAGCTCCTTCCAATCCAAGTATCCAAACTTTCCATTCATCTTTTCTCCATATTTCCAGAGGAACACATGCATTGCAGCTATACAGCAGCTGCACGCTCCTTCTCCCCCTCAAGGTTTCAGTTTACATCGCTACTACCATTACTTTTCCCACCCATCCACAGCAGAACATTCCACTTACATGTGAAATGAGATGTTAAGCCAAAGATGTGAGTTATGAGCCTCATAGTGCATTGTCCATAGCTGTGACACTTAATCCAGGAGCCGGTCCAGCCCCTAGTTTTCCTATGGCTGTGTCATTTATACCAGCCTCAGTGCTCCAGCCATCCATGTAATTACTTCACATGGTTTCCTGTGCTGGTTTCCCAGCTCCTCTGCCTCCCCTCTACCATCCAGGATTACTCCCCACGGCACACAGGACACTCCTGTCAGCACTTTCCACTGACCACAGCCCTGTAGCTGTACTGTAGCAGATCTCCTCTTTCCTTTCTCTGTCTTTTGTCTCGCACAACCTTCCTATTACACACAGCATGGATGAGATCATCATGTTCAGGTAAAGGTCTTTGAGCTACACTACCACAAACACTGCGCCATTATTCTCACCTTTCTGAAATTTCCATAATTTCTTTTATGAAATATACCTGTACCATCTTGCCATTATTGTGCATCTCCCCATTAGCCATCTGCTGCAGGACTTTACCCCTTTTCCATGCAGGATTTAGTTTTACCTGCCAACTCAGCATACTGTTATTGTAACCAGTAAATAGACTGAAGTGCTGTGGAGAGGGATCACTTAATTCAGAGACTTGCCAGCTTGCCTTTTTATTATAGTCCACTTTTTCTGCTAAGCAAAGTCCAAATTGTCTAGACTTCGCAGACATGATTCCAGACGTCAGTGCTCAGATGTCTTTCATATTTTCTGCCAAAGTGATCTGCCTCACATTCCGCACTGAACATTTGTAGAATAAGTTCCAAATCTGTGCCATGGAGACATGCTCGGAGCCATTTTAATTATTCAGTATTGTTTGTTGTTTCTTTCCTTCATAGTTGATTGTAAGTATTGAGAAATAGTACTAATACCACCCCGAGCATATGAAATTTTGCTTTCCCTTGAAAGATGTCAATGTAACACCTGTCAAGATTTTACACAAACATCACATATTGCTCTCTGGCTAATTTCTGCTTCACTGTGTAGAATGATGAACCACTGAGTTGGAATAATAATAGCATTGGTGGACTTGCCCAGAGTGGTGTATCACCATTACAAACAGCTCTCAAAGATGCATATTCCTTTCCAGAAGATTAAATGTTTTTCCACCTGTGTGATAATTGCCCTCCCAATTTGGCATATCAGCAAGTAGTGGCTCTCCACCCCTGTCTTTTTGTCATTTGCTTCAGTCCACTGAGGTAATTCAGCACAACTCAAAAAATAGTCTGAGATCTGAACATTTCCTTTAGATTGTTTCTTGAGAATCAATTTTAGTTTTCCTTACCCTCCTTTTTGCCACCCTTCAACCTTTTTTACCTCCTCATTATGCTTTTCCTCCCTATCCACTCAACCCTTCATTCTCTGAATTCTTTTTCGTGCCTCTGCGCCGGCGATAGCCAAGGATGGATTCTGGTCAAGGTCACTTTGACTTGACATTTGTCCCAATCTTGTGAAAGCGATATGTCAGGAACACCTTGAGGGAATTCGTTCTCTTTGGCACAAGTGTCCACTTTGACTCAAAGATTAGATTTTGATGGTCAAAAGTCAAGGTCAGTGACCCCACTTCTATCCCATACTCGTGAAATAGACTGGTTGGTGGAGGCACACATCCATAAAGTGGCAATTCTAGTTTTCTTTTGAATTCGTGTCCTCATCCTGTCCTACCTTAAGGAATGTGTCCAGTGATCCATTCTCCATGTATTCAGTAATGATCATCACTGGTTTGCCTAAGAAGAACATACAAACAAACAAAAATAATAATACTTTACTGCAAAATATAGAATACACAGCTTAAAGATTATGAAGAACAACAAATTTGTTGTTGCGTCTACAGAGGTTAACATCATGGTAGAGGTTTGGCCAAACAATTTCATTTAAACTAACAAAATTACAAAATTAGCTACAATACTGACTAATGTAAAGTAGTGTGATCTATATATAACACTGGTAAAATGAAAGAAATTCCAATGCTAGAATAGAAAGTACAGCTATATGGTGAACATACTGGCTTCTCAGGTCTCATCTTGTCTAGTCAAGTCCTGTTTTCATCACTCTGAACTGTAATTCATCAAGATTCTGCTCAACAATAAGCAAGCCTGAGATGATGTCTTCGTGTTTTGTACATTTCAGATCTGAAGTTTACATACAATAGTCCTACCCTTATAGATTATGTACACTTTTCACTTTTTTAGATCGCTATTTATCAAAATGTGACCATACTGAAGTTCATTAAAATATGCAAGTTTTTATTTAGTTTTTTACTGTCCTATTTGATGGCATCAAAGACACACACAAGAAAAAAGGTCAACTCACTGATAAACCTCACCTGAAGTCAAAGCACATCTAAATCTAACTGGTGAAGAATAGCCAATTCTGATGGATGTTTAAAAACCCTGAAAAAGTGAGCTTGGACAGTAGACTGAAGAAATTAGACCAGAGTCTGACAAGCAGACTTGAACCTGACAAGTTAAACTTGAAGTCCCTAAACTACTACTCAGCACAGCTGCCATGTGAGTGCTCCCAGTAATCTTCATACTGACATGCTGTATGTTACAAATCCTACAGGATGCATTTTAGGCCTCACAATCAAAGACAGCGTGTTGAATCTGAATAGAAAGAGACATGATGATGACTCACTCTTGGTCACCACGCCCTCCAAACGGATGATGTTTGGATGGTTGAACTGGCCCATGATTGACGCTTCCCAGAGGAAGTCACGTCTTTGCTGCTCTGTGTAGCCTGCTTTCAAGGTCTTAATGGCAACCTGCATCTCTCTTTTCCCCGGCAGCCTCAGTGGGCCGCTGCACACCTCACCAAACTCCCCTGAGGAAACGAGACAGAGCATGAGTATTACTTCAAAATTTCAGGACACCTTGACCTGCAAAATTCTTGTCCACTGGTGAAATAAATGTTCATGATGTACAACTAAATGTTCTATTATTTAATAGACTTAGTCTTACCTGACAGAGAGGGTTTTTACAAGATCCCTTGGAATCCATTTCTTTAAGTATCAGTGGTGCAATAAAATCTTTCATTACTGTATAAATAGTGGGCAAGCATCACTTAAATCCACATTCAGTGCTCAATTTCACAACAGTTAAGTACCCAGAGCCCAAAAAAGGTGTCACACTGAAGGGCCCACTGTGTTTCACTGCTGCACAGCTAGACAGCTTGTAGGCTAACAAATGCTGCAAATCAACATGTCTGTCAGCAGAACACAAACACCATTTATAGCTGTATGAACTGTCATTTTCTAGCAGTGTTTGGTCTAATTGACTATGTTTTACTGTGCGTCCATAAGATGACATGCAATTATGAATGTGACAGGTTTATGCAGGTTGAAGGAAATATGAGGCACTTTGGTAGAGGTAATGAGAAAATAGTTAAATTCACTACAACATGACATAATAAGGATAGACTCATTACTGTTATTACTGCACACTGAGTGTGATTTAATAGAATATTGCTTGATGTTAAAGTGTTAGAGGACATTAAAGGATTTTACTTGAGCATGCTTGACTGACCAGGTTCACTTCTGTAGTTCAGGGTGAACAACACTGTCAAATGTGATACATTATTGTGGCTAAATCAGCCCCAAAATGAGGCTTGAAATGAGTGTACAGTATCTGGCACACACTCACAAAGGCAGAGACACTGAGTTGACTCACCAGCACCAATGATTCTCTCTATGGAGATGAAAGACACATCAATCTCCTGGGCAAATTCATGCACTGCCTGGTTGGGATCTTCATAGGTCAGCGGGTCAATGTAGGTACGCACCCTCGGGAACTTAACTGCAAAGGCACATGCATGGCATCATTACCATTTAGATGCCATTTAACGTATTCATATGTAGTCTGACTTAAGTCTGACTTTCACACAAAACAACTCAAGCATTAGTGGTTCTCACGTTGCAAACATCACAGTTGTTAGCCTCAAAATTATTATGATGATATACATCAGAAATTTGTCAGTCGGCACAGATTTTTATTGAGAGTTTTTTGTTGTTTTTCTACAAAATTAACAGGTTTATTTTCCATCAGTGTAATCACGTACCTTGATCTCTCAGCTCAGTTTTTCCAAGTACACTTCCAAAAATCTGTCTATACAGTGGTATACATATACATACAGATGCAGCCACTCAGCATTCATTTGAAATCTGATATATCACACAGCTGCTGTCATAACCCCAAGGTTATGTGGACTTTGTAAAATTATACTGTCAGTGCAGCTTCATTAAAACACAAATACCAACAAAGCAAAAGAGACACATTAACCAGTGATGCTCCATCACTTTTTTCCCTCCAAGGGATGAAGAAGAATAGGCCTACTGGCATAATCTGGTTGAAATTCATAACGTTGCATTATTGTGAGCACTTGAAGATGCAATCATGAGTAAAGTGCATGTCCTGGATAAGTTGTGATAAAATTTACGGTGTGGTGATTGATTCACGTCGACTCAAACAATGCATGCTCCGATTTGCAACTGGTACCTGCAAGTGTTTCTGTATTTTGTTCAATCACCTTTATGATGACGTGGATTGTTCACAACAACACAGTTTAGTGTCGACTACAGACTTTGTTTACAAAAGGTAAGTGACAGAACGAAACTCACATCATCCAGACTGACAAACTAGAGCGTAATCTCCAGGAGGGGCCATGGCGGCAAACAGCAGATGCAACGATCAGCAGCAGAAATAGACTTTACATTTAAGTTAAGTGGTCCTTGGATTTCAACAAATTGTTTGACCTCTGTAGCTGTGAGTGATCAGCTGTAGGGCTACATGACACAAGCAAGGTCCAGGATGGCCAAACTTTGGCACGTGCTGACCAGTCACAATGCATATTCTCCCTGTGACTGCGTGGGTTCTCTCGGGGTGCTCCGGCTTCCTCCCACCATCCAAAGACATGCAGCTTAGTTTGACTGGCAACTCTAAATTGCCCGTAGGACTGATTGTGGCTGTGTGGTTGTCTGTCTCTAAAGGTCAGTCCTGTGATAGACTGGCAATCTGTCCAGGGTATACTCCACCTCTCACCCAATGTCAGCTGGGATTGGCTCCAGCCCCCTGTGACCCTCGTTAGGATAAGCGGTGTAGATAATGGATGGATGGATGGGATTACTTTTTTTGAGCAGTGGTTCTTTACATTGAAAGGAACCAGTTGAGGTGGTTCAGGCATCTTATCAGGATGCCTCCAGGGCACCTCCCTTTGAATGTCTTCCGGGCACGTCCATCTGGTAGGAGACCCCAGGTTAGACGCAGAACATGCTAGAGAGATTATATATTTCTCATCTGGCAAGGGAACGCCTCAGAATCCTGCCAGGGGAGCTGGAACACTTCGCCGGGGAGGGAGGTGTCTTGGACTACCTTACTGAACCTGCTGCCACCGCGACTCCACACAAATGGATGAACGGGATGACCAGAGCCTTACGCACAGCTCATATGTTCACCGTTGCTGGTTGACATGTGAACCAACAGGAAGCAGGAGGAGCTCAGTGAAAAATCAGTACATTTTAAAGTCAATTTAGCATTGGAGTGGGGCGCATCTATTTTCTTATGGATGGAGAAGATATTTGATGACTGGTCATAACAAACATTAGGGGGGAGGTGAGGGGACAAATGTTCATTTTTCATATTTTTGGTGGAACTTATCTCCTGTGGAGATTACACCCTAGTTATGGCTGTAACATTCACTCTGACAAATGGCTACTTATTCACAGTGTTATTCTGCCACACCAGAGAATAAAGTCAGTCTAGCATTTGATCATGTGGGCAATTACAGTTAAAGTCAGAGGTGCTATTTGGGAGAGCATAAAAGAATAGAACGACCATCTCTTTTCTACAGCATAGAGTTGACAACCTTGATTTAACAATGACAAAAATGACATAACACAATGCCAGTGGCATGATGTCTCAAAAGCTATAGAAGGTCCAAGCATTTAAGCAGAATGAAATACTGTGACAGACACAGACACTGATTAATATGTAGGCAGCCACTGCCAGCCAAGCGCCTCAGCTCGGTCCAGCCTACTGTCCATCAGCAGTTCAGCACATTAGCAGAAGGATCAAATTATCAGTCAGCCTCTGCAGTAAACTAAAGCAAACACTGCTCCACCTGGTGAATACATACAACACTGCAGGCGGCTTGCACGCACTGTGCTTAGGGGCATTAACAAGGCAGCTCTGTCATTGAGGGGGATACACTGTAATAGCAGGAGCCGTGCACAGACCACAAGAAAAGAGATGCCATTTGTGCATGATATATAATTGCCATCAAATATTTCCTTTCATGGTATGTCTCAGTTTACAATATTCCACACATACTGCCACCGTGGGATTTCTCCTGACTTTTCGGGAGGTGATATTCCCATCATAGTCAGCTCTGATGCCAACACATGGGTGGCAGGATACAATGCCAAAAATGTAGCCAAATATATGAAGCTGTCACAGCCTGTAAATCAAAGGGATGTGTGCCTTCTGCCAACATCACTGCCATGGAACAGGTTTGTCATTCAAAGAATAGCTCATTGTCAGTGGTTCTGGTACAACACACACACACACACACATACATACATACATAATGGGAATGAACAAATTCATACAGATGTGACCTCTGTCTAAACCCTTTACTGTAAATGTAGTGCAAACCTTGGATGAATTTGGCACACAGATGCATGCACATACACATGCACAATAAGTTTGGGCTTTTCTCAACTTACTGTGACCATTGTGAAAGTGCATCTTCTCTTCCTCAGGGTCCTGCTTTGCTTTGCTGTAGCCGCACCGCCTGAGGTGGAGAAACCACAAGCACATCACTATCAGCGTCAAGCCACAGTATTATGTTATGTGCACATGTACAGTAAAAACGTTATTATATTTCATCTTACAATTACACATGTATCAGTGACATTCAGGAGGTAAACAAAACAATGGGAACACCTCATGGAAAAGAACTTTGAGAGATTAATTTGATTAAAAAAAAAAAGTGGAACAAAGTTGAAAATCTGATTTTTATTAATTTAAAAAGAAGCAAAGACAAGAAAGGATCACAATAAAGATAGCACAGAATGGTCCAGACACAGTAAAGTGACTCCTGCTCAACAGACTATAAATCACCCTTCGATCTAGTGCAAGATTTATATTTCCTCATAGATCTGCCAACTTACATTTCAAGGCTTTCAAAAATATTAATGCAAATGCTGAAAACTACCAGGCTTTTATATAAAAGCAAAGAACTACAGCTTTCAAATAATTTTCCAAGAAAACACTTGCCAACAGATCAAGAGCAGTCTTGAGCTTTTTGATAAACACTGTATATCCATTTTTTTCTTTTGTCAAGTCACTATAAAATGATAAAGGACATTAAGAGAAATTCTTTAAGACACCGGCTTTTATCTGTGCTGATATACTGTACTATTATCTGTTTTCAGTGTATCCCCTCATGTTGTGTGCATGTATGATTTGTCTGTGTGGGTTCAAAAAGCTTATGCATGTCAATATTTAGACAAGCAGCATCACAGATAATCACAGATAAGCCAGATTTCCCAAAAGGATTTATTTTGAACTTGATCCCATATGCAAGCATGCATGTGTGCGCGTACATGCACACACACCCATGCAACATAACTTCAGAAAGTATTCGGACCCTTTACATTTCACATCCTTTATTGGGTTGTAATTTAAATGGATAACACTGGCTTTTAAAATAATGAAAGTGAAAACATGTTTTTAGAATTTTTTTGCAGATGCATAAAAAAAACCTGAATTCTCTCATTAAATTTAAATATACAACATAATAAAGTGAAGTGGTCAGAATACTTTCTAAAGCCACTGTAAAGTGTTTGTAAACGACATAGACAGACATTTAAATCACTGTATTTGTGAAGTAAATGCATTGATTTAGTCTACTGAGTCCGCAAAACTAGCAGTCAACAATATGTTTTAGATTTTTCCTCATTTCACTTCTTGATAACAAAAAGCGCATGAACACATTAACGACACACAGACAAACACCTGCACACACAGGGGTCACGTTGATGTCTTTCCCATCACAGCTCTATAACCAGGCTGGGCTAGAGGGGTTTGGTAAGGGCAGCTGGATAATGTGGGGGAGGGGAGTTTGTGTGTGTGTGTGTGTGTGTTTTGCACAAGTGTCTGCCCAAGGCCATTTAGTTTGCCAGATCTGAGCTAAGGGGGTTTGAGCATGCTCAGTACCCAGCTGACCCTCCAACTTCCTCCGTGTGTATTAATTAACCCATAGCATCATTGTGTATGTGCATGTGAATACATGTGCTGTCTCTGAATGCCTATGCACGTGTGTGTAGTCTGGAGGATTATGCGAGGTCAAGAAGGGTGTGTGAGAAGGACACAGTGGATGGAGGGGTTTAGGGTGCCCCAAAATCCACAACTGAAAAATTTGGCATTCCTCCAGTTCTCCTCCGACCCAAGAAACCACAGAGATCCTCACACCTGCTCTGCTAAACCAAAATCATCCCTGTGATTAGCTTTTTCATCCCTGAACATCACCAGTACAACCACCATCTATTCATCTTATCATTCAGTCAAAGACAGAATGTTGATTTCTGTTTTTAATCAGAAGCAAAAGTGTAAGGACTGGAGTAATGTAATGTGTGGTGTAATGTGCATAATGGGAAAACAAATACAAACATTCCAGGGGCCATATGGGGATAAGAGGTTGAGTTTTTTCCTCAACAACTATTAAATATCTTTTTACTCTGGCCAGTGATTGAGTGGTTTGCATGTTTCTGAATGTGTCTTTGCACCTGGGTATGGTTGGGGGTGAGCATGTGTGAAAATAACATCAGAAAATTGGTTGTACAAATTACAATACAAGGTTAAATGAAGGTCATAAGAACCTTCCTACTCCATTCAAGCATGTACTAGGTATAAGCAAACTGATATTGGATTAGCATTTGTTGGATATGTGTAAAATTATGTGTGTTGATATATCAACTGTCTTTACATGCTTGAAAGAATAAATAAATCAAATCAAAATCAAAATAGAATATTAATGTAGTGCATAACGTATGGAGAACAGAGAGCTAACAGAGCAAATTTAGTGCGACAAGACTTGAGTGGAATCCACTGACTTGTCTGCATCAACCCTGAAGCTATGACCTAAAAAAGCAAAAGTTAATACTGACCTATTAAAAATAAAATAAAATCTCAGTTTCAGACTAGGTAGCCTCCTTCTTCAGAATTTTGTGGACAGAATGATTCCTAATGTCCTTTCTTTCCAAACTTTAGTTTGTCCTTATTCCCTCGAAGTGAGCAGTGGCAATAAAATTCACTCTGATCATCCAATAATATCAAAGACAAGAGGATGAGGGCGTCAATGAAAACTCAATTCCCACATCAGTTTCTTCCATAAATTCCCATCATACAGTTAGTAATAAAGACATTGCTCCACGCTTCCTTTATATGTGCTCTGCCAGTTCAGTGTCACAGAATATTGATATATTTAATTAAAATTGTCACTTTATGTTGGCGGCATTTAATGTACTGCTTTGTGTTTTAATAGGAGAAAAATGTGTGTGGGCATACTGTATATGCTTACACCTACATACATATTGCAGCAATATAGCACACATGCTTTCCTGATTGTGTTTATGTATCTTCAGGTGTACTTTTATATCTTACCGTCCACTGAGCAGGAATCCAGCAACTACTGCCAGTAGGACCAGAGCCAACGTGATGGCCACTGCTACTACTGAAGCTTGAGCACGCTCACTGGTAGCAGTTACTGCCAAAGAAAAGGGATAAATGAAGAGTTAGATAGTTACACCAAGTATACACACACACCCACAAAATCACACCTGGCATCTGTTGTTGATACAGGCTCCAAAAGCAGGTGGGAGTCAGGTTGATCTCTCTCAGTTTTTACTCACAGTAAGGGCTGGTCTGGAATTCAAATCGTCGGCTAAATGTGCCATAGCCCGCTGAGGTCCTGGCTCGCACCTGTGATGCACCATATCCATTTATATAACATCACACATTATATACTTTAATCTTGTGTTACACGACTGTAATTCAGTGGGTTCTTTGCAACTGCTTATCTCTTTTCAGCTCCAGTTTGTTTTGTCATGCCAACATATTTGACTATTTTTCTAAAATAAAGTATGATTAATATAAAATATCATTTTTGAAATCTCCTTATTTATCAGTTCCCTTTTTGACTTTTTGGCCGTGTGTTTCACCTGGAAGATGTAGACTGAAGAGGGCTTGAGGCCTTCCACCACCATCTCGGTCTCCTTGGATTTTATTATAGTATAACTGGAGTCCTGCTCCTGCAGTGGGGGGAAAGGGGTGGACATTTACTATAGTTCATTCATATGTCTTTGTATCTTTGATTACACTAGGTTTGTCAGTGCAGTAGTCATTCTGCCAAATTCTGCATGTGTATTTATATTCCTGTCTGCAAACTCTGTGTGCTTTCAGATGTCTTTCTATTCCCCAGCACATCTGCATAGCTAAGCTACCTGTAGTACTGCGAGTTTGAATGTGTGCAAGTACGTGTGTGTGCAAGTATCAGTTTTCCTAACTGTAACCACATCAGGTTTAAACACAGCTAAATGTCCCCTCCATTAGCCAGAAACCATTAGCTAACCCCTGACCACAAACCCTGCTCAGCTCTCATGTATACCTTTATTCTGACCTTCCCAGAAAAAAAGAGAAAAAAGAGAAAGGAGGAAGGGCACAGCAACAGTGACCTGAATACAAGGATCAAATTTCTGTCTCTACTTAAGTCTAACTTTAACTTAAAAAAAAGCCAAAGCTTTTTCTGAAGTCAGACATTTTTTGTCAGTAGACCTGATTTAAAAACCTCTTCAGTTAAAAAAAAATACTTGAAGGCAGACTGAATATATATTCAGCTGTATCTCTCAGGGCCAATTTCAGCAATGTTGGTCTAAGTGGTTCTCTAAAATATATTAAATATGGTGAGCCAAGGGCTGGAGTAAGGTAGAAATCCACTGCTGCTAGACGTTGCTTTAGCATAATCAAATTGAGAATGTAGATTTTCAGCAGTAAAAAAAGCAAGATATGTGGTAATGCATTTAGCATAATGCAGTTATGTTTGTGAAATATAATCTTTTGCATTATATGGCATAGACAAAATATACAGTAGCAAATGAAAAATGAGAACTTTAAGACAGTATATGAAAAATTAATATGCCGCATTGAGCATCCCAAAAGACCAACCAAAATGTTCACAATTCTAAATTGCAGATTTGATGCTGTATGAAATGTAGCTTGTTGAAAGAAGAAGAAACACTTTCCCATTCCCATCCCAAACACTATCAAAACGTTTGACTGGTAGTGTATATATATTTGTTACCTTTTCAAAATACTTGATCTCGTACTCCAGAATGATGCCGTTAGGGCGATCAGGCTCTGCCCAAGAAAGGGCGATGCTACTCTTCCCCGTATGACCTTTCCTCACCACACTGACTGGAGAAGGTGCTGCACACACACACACATACACACACACACAGATGCTGAATAAATGCCAATGTTGGGTATCTTCAGCATTGATAAGACAATCCTCTTTCGAGGATATAAAAAAAGTTTAAGTTTTGATCATTTAGTGCATCAAAATTGATAACGGATATTGTCACTGTCACCTGCGTGTTAAATTCAAGACATTTATACACAGCTGTACCGCTATAAAGTCCATTATTAATATAATAGGATCAATCTTTTTTGCTGCTCTTATACCGCCTGTTTTTACATTGTGCTTAGAAAATTCTCAAAACTCTACTTCCTTATGTCTGAAATATGAACAGATGCCAAAAGCTACAACATTTTCAAAGCAAAAACACTCTAACATTCTTTGGGTGATTTTTTTCTTTCTTGGATTTTGGCACTTCACAAAGTTTCCATTTTCACTGTAATTTGGTTTGTAAGCTCTAGAGTCAAATGAACTCAGTTGTGTGTGAGTTTGCCTCAATCATCAAACCGTCCTGTTGTAACCTGAACTGTTGGCCTGTCTCTCAGAGGGACAGTTGGAGAGTCTCTGACACATAAAGAGCTTTTAACCAGGCAAAATGCTCCCTCAGGCAACATCCTGATAGTGTGTGCGTCTATCTATATGTGTGAAAGCCTTCACTGGGAATGCGAAACACCTTTTAGGTTTCAACAGCCTCAGCAGAACTCCACAGGGAATAAATCATTGCTACAAACACAGTAACTGTATCCTGAGTGGATGGTCACACAGAAGTGTTATCTGCAACATCTTAAAAGCCTGAAACCAGAGAGTGAATCTCACACACACAATTCTTAAATGGTATAAGGATTAACACGTAACAATACACCAATATCTAAGTTTAAATCCTCCACAAATGGATGCAGTTTGCCGTGCTATATTTAATCACATGTTTTGAATAGAGGGTGTCATATGGTGGTATACAAAATCTAAAGCCCTCGGGTACAAACTTGTGAATTTGGTGGTATAAAAATCTACCTGACTGTCCACATATAAAAAAAAAAAAAAAAAATCAAAACAGGGCTGAAGCCAATATTTTTGAAACAATTTATTCATCTGCAGATTGTTCTCCTAATTAATTGTATACAAAATGTCAGAAACCTGTATAAAATAAAATAAAAAATAAAAATCAATTTCCCTTTTGCATGTTTTCAAAAAAAACCAAATACTGATCACAGACTAATTTAAGCATCAACTAATTTCCACCTGTTCCTTCACAGACTGAACCCTCCCTTCAACCGAGCACCACAGAGGCACAATGCCCCATACTCAGTCAACAGAAGTATCTTTCTATAAAATGTGACACCTTTTAGTGTCACAACTCAGCTACTCAAGCTAAACAAATGAGCCTTTTATAATCTGACAAATCTGAGGAATGCTCATGCTGAGAGAGAATGGGAGGTGATGGAAGAGAGGGAAGGGGTGCTAAAGGAGGCGGAGGAGGGATGGAAGACAAGCGGTGGCATTGACAAAAATGAAAAAAAAAGTGAGATGAAACATGACTCGGTGTGACATGGTGAAATAGTGTAGACAGGACCCCAGCAACACTTTCATTTTAGCAACAGGGAGGAATCACACATCCCAGTTTAAACACTTTCACGACGCGTTGCTTCAGCTGAGCACCTACATCACGGAAACACAGAGCACTAATGAACATAAACTCCTGATGGTTTGCCATAATTTACATTCTACTTTCCCCAGCAATCTGTAGCTGTGAGATATCTTTTTCATGAAGAGAGAGGTCAGAAAAGGTTGTAAAAGCTCTTCAGTGGACGAGTACAGCCCTCTGGTGTAACAACTCTGGCTTCAGATAAGAGCAGCGTTATCACAGTGCAGAACATAAGCTTCTCAGACCGCTATCTGTCTGCACCATGTCCAAAATCAATACCAGCCTTCAACTACCTGCATTATTATCCCTTTAACTACCCCCAGAAAATGACAGACAGAAACAGAGACAGACAAAGAGATGGCTTTATTAAAGTTGTAAAGTACCAAAGCTGTTCTCGTCTCATTAGTTTGCAATTTGACCTCTCACCTAGCTGCTCCGTTTCATATCGTTCTCAATTATCTCATACATTTGCAACACTAACAGTCATTTTGCAGCCCAGAATGTTTGGCCACAGACGTTTGTGTATCATCCCTCATCTCTCTCTTAAGTCACCTCTCTACTGCTGTCTGGCTTACAAAGGCTTTCTGTACAATGGCCAAAAATACCGGTAAAATTATACTTACACACAAACTCAGCCAGGTGGAAAGCAATCTCATCATTATAAAGTTGGAGGAAACAAAAAGTTGTCAGATGCATACGTATATATAGTCATTAAAAACATGATTTACTGCTATGGAGCACTTAAACTCCATAGATTCACATGATTTATTGCTTCACTGCTGCTCTAGTTGGTGAATGAGAAAAAAATCCTGCACCATTTTTTTTTTTTTTTTTGTAAATCAAGTTGTTTGTTACTTTACAACTAACTTATAAGTTGCTCTAGTTGCTTTCCAGCAGACGAGGTTGTACAGTATTTTTGAACTCCATAGTGGTTGAATATGATTGCCACCTATAGGTCGATGAAACATCAACAACCTTGACAATCATGCACAGTATATGAGATGCTACACAGAGTCATGTTCTTCCAGCCTTCAAGTGCCCCATAGCCAGCCTCTTTCTTGCCTCCTCTCTGTTCCCATATCCTTTCTGCTCTGATTTACCAAGTGCATCATCTGTCTTCTTTAACACTCTCCTATTCCAGGATGAATTAATTTCAGGTCTAGAGCACACACTCCAGTCAGCCCCACTCCTTTTATATCATATCTATCCCTAAAACAAAAATAAGACACATGACCAGAGTGCCAGGCTGTGTACTTATTTTCACCACCCACACAAGTTAATGTATTGTGATTCATCTCATTAATAGCCAACAACAGCAAAGACAATATATGGGGGTATTTAATATGCAGTTACCAAGCAGTGCTCCCACACTCTGAACTATTAAAAAAAAAGACCAGAAATAAAGACATAACAGACCTGAGCAACTACCATCAAGCTTGTCAGCTGACAAAAGCCTGAATGGTCTGTAATTATTAAGCAATAATCAGCATTTAGACTTGAAAGCTTCCTTGTTTTTTGATTTGGCTTCATTAATGGCAGTTTCACCTAGTGTAGAATGAATATTTATACCAGTCATTCAGGTTTTCCACAATATTATTCAAAAGACATGAACAAATACCTAAAATGCAGATGCTCTGAAATGTCACTGGGTTGCAGAGATGTTCTGTTATACGTTTTCAATTATTTTTCTTTTTAAAATGAGTTTCTGCTATTTAATAGCGGTTGCTAGTGAGCTACCTTAGCAAAAGTATATATTGATGTGAAAGGCACCATGAAAGCAGGTCAAAATACATGACGTGCCTTTTTCAAATCATGATGTTGCACCAGACCTCTGAGTGTTTTTGAATGTGTACAAGCAGTTAATGTGCACCCTCTCATTTTCATGCTTTCCTTCTTGCCTCTTTGCCCACTTTTCCTCCTTTTATTACCCTTTTCTTTCCTGCTTGTAGCAGTCTTTGTTCCTTATCATCACAACTTCACTATCATTTCTCTCCCACAGTTTGTCCTCTCTACCCGTCCTCCCTTCTGTGCTCCTTTCCTCCCGTGTTTCTCCTCTCCTCCTCACGAGTACCGACACTTTATTATTCAGCAGGGCTTCACAGGGGCACTGTAAAATCACCTATTTCACGGATCCCTTATCAAGTGTGACACTTCCCACACGTCAAACAGCAAATCCTTTGACTCTTTCTCTCTGTCTCCCTCTGTCCAAGTCACCCTGTACTTTTGTCTCTGTATCTGTTCGTACCTTCTTACCCTCATAAGACAAAGCGCAGTCAAAACCTACAGTCACACACAAGCAGAACACAAAAACACACATTTACAATGTTGATCAAAGTCTACAATGGGTAATTATCTATTATCTATGACCTGTTTCTTGAGATCTGTGAACTCTGTTCAGTGCCAGAGACTGCTCCTAACACTGTATTTCCAAGGCAAAATGAAAACACTGCAGCATAACCTTAACCACACAAACTTTATGTCTGTGACTCTACTAGTCATGTGTAATCTAATGTAATCCCAGTCACTGGACCCACAGGGTCAGGGTCCAGTGACTGGCCAACACTAATCCAGCAACTCCAATAAGTATGAGTTGTGTAGTCTGGTGTAATCCCTTCAGTCCGCCGACATCCACAGTGACAACACAGTTAGAGGACCGTCAGTACTCTCCACTATCAGACAACCATCTGCCTCTCTGTCTGCCTGTCTGTCTCTTTCTCGCTTCACAGCCTGTACCCATCCTATTACTGCTACTACTACTTCCTTCTATTTCTTGACTGCCAGTGAACCATCTGTTCGACAAAACTGAACAAACATCCTCCTTGAAAACAGTTCTTTCTCTAGCCTTCCCTCCAGATGGAAGCTTCGGGAAGGGAAAAAAAAAAGAATTAATCTCATATATTTCTTTCATTACACTGTGCGCTACCCATTTCATTACAAGCAAATAAAATGAGGTACATAAGCACGTACCGCCCGTAAACATAAAAATAAAAACGGGCTCCCAAAGCAAATATGAATCCTAATCTCCATTTAAAAGGAAGCTAACAAAGCGTCCGACATTTATAGCTACAAGGAGTAGTGGAGGTCAAGCACTGCCCAATATTAGAGTGTTTTATGTTTGGCCACAGTGCTTGGCTTTTGGTGCCTTGCTCAAGCACGCGTTGTAGCTCCTCATGCAGATTTCCTAAGCTGCTCTGGGACAACATGTAATAAAATATTCCAAGCAACAAGTGCAGATAATGATACCAGCTGAAATGTTCTTTTTCACTCATAGCTGATTAAAAATAGTACTTTCCAATCTAACATTAACATGTAAACTTGCACGCCATCACCCTGATTCATCCTTGTTGACAGGCATGCGGAATAACATCTGCCACCACACAAAACACCCGTTACACAAACAGCCTGCAAATCAAGAGCTTTCATTACGCCACCCATTCCTGCAAATTCTGCTGATGAAATGTACTGCCTAATTGAGGGAGATCAAGCTGCTTCTTCAATGACATATCTGGATGCAAGAGGAAAATTTTAAAAAAGGCTTGCCACTCAGTGACTGTTCACTCATTCGCTGCAGTGATGGCGCATGAGTGAAAATTAATACAGCAACAGATTTGTTGGACAAATACTGTGATAATTTGATCATCTGGTGTCTTTGTTACCAAACTCCAAAATGTGCGCCTCGAATCTGAAGCACAGGTTGATCTGTGGCAGATTCAATAAGAACATTGAATACTGGAGGAAAAATTGGGACAGCTGTGACTCTGATTGGAGCATACACGGTGGGGCCGCAATTGACAAAAAAAAAAAAGCATGTTCTGATGATTGTGACAGATCTGGCTCAACATACCTGCCTGATTGGTTGTCACATTGAGTGACACATACTGCTTTGTGTGGTCCTTGGCTAGCTCTGACACCCCGTTGACAGCCTCCAACAGGAAGCTGTAGTTGGTGTGTGACTGCAGGTCGGCCACCATCACCGAGGTGTTTGACAGGCCAAGTCGCCGTGGCAGAAAACGTACATTAGGGCCGCATTCTTCCAAGCCCCTTCCATCTGGCAAGACCTGTCTGCACAGGATGTTGTAACGCACATCCTTCCTGCCACCTGTCTCCATGGGGATGGACCACTCCAGGAAGACGCTGGTCTCATTGACATTAGAGATGGCATTTCGCGGGGCAGAAGGTGGGCCTGAGAGTGAATGGAAAGGGATCCGACGGAGAAAAACAATTTCATCTTAACACACAAAGGTAAAACAGTCAAGATGAAGAATAGTTAGTTATTACGTTTAGAAATTGATTTCCAGGAATAAAAGTAAGCTGGCAAAAGTTCTGAACATGAGCAGCAAAATCAGAAGCAGGTGTATAAAATTATAGACATTCAAGCCTCACGTGTGCAAGCCATGTTAGGAGGGTCAGAGTCAATCTTATAGTATCCATCTTCACAGCTGCATGCGGTGGCTCCCGCCTGCCTGGCCACACTGTGGGGTGGACATTTACTGCAGACCAATGACTCCAGCAGCGAGCGGTAAAACCCCACTCTGCAGACTGAAATGGGGAGTAGATAAAAAGAGCAGATGTACAGAGAGGCAAGGGAAACGGGGTCATGGAGTGAGAGATAAAAAACAAAAAAGTGGGAGAGACCAAAAACAGTACAACATGGTTAGTTGCTTTGGAAGGAAACCATCAAATGCTAGCTAGCTGCAGAATTGAAATTAAAAAAAGCATTTGTCACATAGTTTTTGGCGTCACATTTGTCTTTTCTTTGTTTCTTTTGAAGTCAGATTTTTTCTTAGTACCTCTGGGGATTATGTCTTTTATCAACATGTACCCTGTGCAACCTTGTTCTCGTCATAATGCTTTATTATCATACCTGAATAAAGATTAATATATTCTGTGAGGGTTTCCTTCTTTTTCACAGCCAGTCTTTAATTCAGTGATTTGTAATCAGCACCCGATTAAGACTTACTTCCCCACCCAGCCCCGTATGTGCAATGTACACAAACAAATACAACAAGCACAGAAACTGACATAATCTCTCTTCCTCCCACACTCAGATGGCTGATCTAAGTGGGGCAGGTAGACAGGAGGGTGACACAATCAGAATGTTAACACGCTAGAATACATCACCAGCTTCTGTCACCATGGCTGCGCCCCCAAGCCAACCAATCACTGACTTATCACAGCATCATTTTCTTCCTGATTTTGCTGTGGCACTCAGACAGATATAAATAGACACATGCAACAGAGGATCAAATGGGGTGTTGGACCTCTGATAAGAAGAGTTCCACAGATTGCTGTCTCCACAATTATTGTATAGGCAATGACAAATGTCTGTGCTTTTTAGTGTTGGAGTACAAGAGCAATCCGAGGATACCAGAAACAGGTGTATCGGACAAAAGAGATGATTTTTAAATGTAAGTGTTTGTCCTCTGAGAGCTCCAGACTGTGAGTTGCTGTTTTCACTGTGTTTTAACATGGCTGTTGTGAGGCACATTCAAACCACAATTGTCAATTAAAACTATATAATTAAACTTGAAGTAAGAGGAGAGGGGCATAAAGAAGATGAAAGTACAAAAAAATGGAAAGGTTAAAAAAAAAGATATGAGAAAGGGGAATGGTGGGAAGAGAGAAAAGGAGAAAAAAAAGCAAAGTTTATGAGGGGGAGCTGGAGAGAGAGGGGAGAAGGGATGAGACAAAGGAGGAGCAGAGGGGAGGACTGTGTGTAAGTGTGTGTGTTCCAGGCATTAGGCAACAGTGGCTCTGATTCACCTTGACAGAACCTTGGTCCGTTGTCATGGAACATTAGGGCTGAAAAATTCTCACTCTGCCCTGGATCTCTCTGTCTCACGTCTGCTTCACACAAACACACACACACACAGAACCTTTCATAAAATGTGTTCGGCATGTAGGATGCCTTAATTAACGCACCTTAATTTTGAGTTAAGGTTAAAAACATCGCTTTTGAGGCAATCATGAAGCTGGCCTAGTTTTGACTGAGCAGACAGTAACACATCTGACCACAAAACTCATGCACAGTAGAGCATCGTCACAAATGTACTATATGTCTTTAGAGTTTATTTCAGATGTGAAAAAAAGATATATATTTTTTTCCATATGTTTGTTTGGCTTTTGCTTTGTTAAGTGGATGAACAGTGAAAAAAGAGGCCCATATCAGTTGTATTGGAGGTGACTTCAATTTAATTGATTGTACTCTGGAATAACGTTCTGCCTTACCACACTACACACGTGGTTGCAGCATCCAGGGCAGTAGGATGCACCTGATCCTTTGTCTATTTCAATTTGTTGCCACACACACATTTATGGCTGTATATAGATTTATTGCCATATTCTGATGTTAAGATCTCCTTGGTTTTATCCTCCAAACACCCATGGCCAAATCAATAAAAAAAGAGATGTCAGCACATTTCACATATAGGAACACCTGCCCAGAGTGATGTACAATGAAGAAGTAGAGACAGAAAAAAAAGCTAGGGAAAAGAGCAAATAAAAATGCTTTGAGTATATCAATAAGTTTAGATACCATGCCAGAAAAAAAAGATTATTTTTAAATGCATTTCCTTTTTATTCCTGGTGCTGAGCTCTCACTGCATGGTGTGCCGGTGCTGCACTCCCCAAAGTTCACCTGTCAATCAAACAGTATGGTGTGGGCACAGCATGGCTTGGAATTTCTGTTGATCAAGTTTTGAGTTTGTGTAGATTTATTTATTTATTTTTTCAGTATTTATTTGTCTATTGGCCACCATCTCCGTCAGCTGTCACTGCTGAAGATAGCTACGTTTTTATTTATTCCACATGGACTGGGAACACAATATTAATGTGATCCAAGAAGGGAATTAGTCAGTGCAATACTAAACATAACTTTTACTTTGGCACTTTCTGCATATAAACCATAGGAACAAAATAAGTTTATTTTGTTTGCTGAAAAATGTCCCTGTAAAATAGATATCTAGCCAGGCATATACAGATAGACATGCAGATAATGTGGCGACAATGATTAGGTGACGTGCTTTGATTAAATTAAAATAATGCATGGAAATTTATTTCCACTGGAAGTTGCAAATGATTATGAGAATGATATAAACATTTGAAATTAAAATGTGCAATTAGGTGTGAAAAAAATCCATTTCATGTCACTTCAGTGAAAGTCAATTTCAGTTGACTAATAAGCCCCAACAGAGTAGATGTTAAGGTATTTATTATCATTAACTGCAGCTCATTTCCATTTAGGGTAAATAGATTATTCATGCTTTACTTGAAAAGCAAACAGAACATGTGTGGAAAGTAACTAGATGCATATACTGTTAAACATGGCAGGATGGCGTGAGCACAGTGGTGCAGCGGATAGAACTGCTGCCTCACAGCAAGGATGTTCTGGGTTTGAAACTCATGGCTGACTCAGGCCTTTCTGTGTAGGTTTTTCATGCTCTCCTCATGCCTGCAACACAGCCTTTCATAAAACACAAATGGTAAAATGTAACCTCTTGATTGGATGACTGGACGTTTGACTCAAAATATTCCCGTTTGTAGATTTTTGGAAAAATGTGAAATCTATTTAAAATTAGTTTTGGTGTCTAGCCTTGATTTTGGTCTGGAGTTTGGCCGTTATTATGCACCACAAATTTCTTTCTTTATTGATCATTAGCCTAATGAGATCAGTTTAATTGTAAAACCTAAATATTTAAAGACTATGTCTCCAGTTTCAGGGAGAGGCAGCCAGTTAGGCCGTGAATCAGATGCTTTAGCTTTAATTCTCTTTAAGGCTCAAGCCCATCACAAATAAAGGCTTATATGTGATTACACACAGACACACATGCTTCCTGTGATTAGAGTAGTTATGGTCATAGCTGGCTGACTGAAATGGTTCATTCCTCATTGTGAATGCAAACTGAATAGGTGGCATTGGTGGTATTAGTCTGTGATTGTATATGTGTTGCCCTTGGGCAAGCTGTCTTTCTGATGCCATGCAGCACTTAATGCACAGCACAAAGGGTAATAGGTAATTAATATGCAATACACACTAATGTGCCTGTATGCATTTGTGTGTGAGAGGTTAATACATAATTAATATGCATCACCCACTGCCATCCTAGGCAATTAAGGATCCAGCAGTGTCCTGCTTCTTAACAAGCGTCCTCTTTAATTGGTAACATTTCACTGTAAACATGTTGATTTATATGACTGGCTGTTATTTGGTGGGATTAGAGGGAGTAAGTGGTAAAGGAAGGGGAGAGAGGAAATCTCAAAAGCAGGTGTGGGGTATAAAACAGAAGCTGAAGTCAAGGAACACATACCAGCCGCATATCAACAGAATACTGGATTTAGACTTTATTCTATGGGTACAGACACAATGTGGATCCAAAGATTTAAACATATTTCTAGTGATGGATAATAGGATTTATAAAACTTACTTGATCCTTAAAATTAAAAGTATATAAACTGTATAAGGGTTAATTTTCACACAAAAAAATCTGAGGAATTCACTTAGAGATTTCTTGAGGAAGAAATGGCTTCATGACTACTGTCAGTATTAGTTGGTTGGAACTGTGCTGTAAGCTGCAGAAGCCAGAAAGTATAAAATGGGCTGTAATAATCAAAACAATTCAAAACCCTTTACTTAAAAAAGTAGCAGTACCACAAAGTAAAAATAAAATCATTTTAAGTCTAAGTCATATGTAGGCTTTTTCACTTAAGCAATTGCATGTAAGCAGCATTTTCATGTTGAAGCTAATGGAGCTACAGTAATTTCAAAAACTATTCGATAGCAGTCTGACTGATAGTAATGCATAATATTATAAGCTTGTAATAAGATGTGTGTTGAAAATCTTCTGCAGGGTATGTGCAAGTTTAGTTATCCTATAAATGTGGTGAAAAAGTCCACAATAATAATAATAATAATAATAATAATAATACAGCATAAAAATAAACTTATCCAAGAAAAGGTAAGGCTGAATTTAAATGTAACACCTTTGCTGTACACAGATACTTTTGGTAAATGGTCACTTAATTGTATAGATAGATAGATAGATAGAAACTTTATTGCAGACTCAAGGTCCAAACTCCGAACAACAAAAAACAACAAACAATAAAAAAACAATAAAAAAAAAATAAAAAAAACACCACAAAACAATAACCAGTCCACTACTATCCCTTTAAACACCTATAGCGCCTTTCTATGCTTTATACAGCACACTCAAAGCGCTTTCACATTACTTGGCCATCAACCCATTCTCACTCCCAAGCACTCATGCATTCACACATGGGTGACATCACCGGGAGCAACTGGGGGTTCAGTGTCTTGCTCAAGGACACTTTGACATGTTGACTGGACAAGCCGGGAATCGAACCGCTAATCCTTTGGTTAGGAAACGACCTGCTCTACCTCCTAAGCCACAGCCGCCCGCCTATTGTGAAATAATAAACTAGCCAAGAAAATTTGTCGGTTCTGTACCGGAAACAAATTCCTTGTGTGTAATGTACTTGGCCAATAAAGGTGATTATCCTTATCCTATCCTTATAAATATCCT